TTACAGTTTGTATGGCAAATTCCACCTTCTCTGTATGTATATAAATATCTTCTTACTATATGTTCCATTTAATGCATCCAATGAAGTGGGCTGTAGCCCACAAAAGCTTATGCTCTAATAAATGTGTTAGTCTCTAAGGTGCCACAAGTACTCCTGTTTCTTTATTGCACTGTAACTCGCAAGTATAGCCAAGCCTGAAGACATAAGTGGTATTTATCAGCATTAGAAACTACAATACATACTTTCTGTGTATATCTCATGACTTCTTATAACTTGGGTGTTTTCTTTTTTCTTTGCAAACCCCTTCGTGATTGAGCATCTTTTCCATTAGGCTGTTTATTTTTAGTACCAAAAAGTATTTGACAGATACCAATCACAGTAGAAGAACGAGTATTTGAAACAGTGTCTAAAATAGTTGGATAAAGTCTGGGCAGACACTGCCATCTTGCAGAAATGGGATAAATGACTCATTAGAAAAGTCTGGTGAGTGGTTACTTACTGTGTAATTTGCAAAGGTTTAACTTATTCTCACATTATTTGTGAAACAACACAGCTGTTAGATATACAATTATATCCAATATACACAATTATAAGGAAAAATGCACGTGTGGAATTAATCTTTTTAATCCTTCTACCAAAGAAAGCAAATCATTTATCCTTTTATTTCAGCATACAATGGTTTATCTGGATCTATACAAGGCACTGTTTTTAGCCATTTTGATCATAAATAGCAACATACTAAGAACTCCCATTTCTTTTGATGAAGTGAGCTGTAGCTGATGAAGTGAGCTGTAGCTCACGAAAGCTCATGCTCAAATAAATTGGTTAGTCTCTAAGGTGCCACAAGTACTCCTTTTCATTTCTTTTAGTATTTTCAATGATTATTTTTCCTTATCTCTAGGAGTATAAAATATCACTGTAGTCCTTCTACTCCTTCGTTCTGTGTATTCCTTTTATTCCTTGTTCGAATTTCTCCCTCATTTTCCTTCTAGACAAACAGGAGATTGAAAAAAATGGTGTTTTCCCTGGTCCATAAAACAATTATTGTCATTGTTTGGATTTTTTCTTTGATTCAATTTAACATATTGGGCCCAATTCTGCTCTCACTTATAGTGGTATATCTCAGTAGTAACCCTACTGAAGTAATTAGAATTGCAGTGGTGTACGTGAGACCAGAATCAGTCCTATTGGCATAGTTTTGTGGTGATGCTTTAAAAAAAGTGATATCAAAACGCCAAGTTACCTTGAAATAATATGCAGCCAGTAAAAACCATTATTGCAATATGTACAAAGAATAGGGCATAGAGTGGTTCTCAGACACAGAGAGAATTTGACTAGTGCTTTCTGCTGCGGATGCTCTATTAAACCATGCAAATGGTCAAAAAGCAAAAAGAAATTCACCTAGTGTAGACATCCAAAGATTTGTTTTTACAGCTGATATGTAAATTCCAGCAGGGAATAGGAAAGGATGTCACTGTTAGGAAATTAATATAGAATCCAAAGACATTAGACCCTTCTTGTATACAGTACAATTGCATCACTTTAGAATCAAATCTGAATACTTTAATACAGTATAACTATGAAGGGCCAGATTCTACCCTCACATCCTATCCCTCCCCATTAGGTTTGCACAGTGTGTGTGACAGCAGAAGTTATCCCTTAGCATTTATGTCAAATACAATAGGTCCTGGGGTGGATTTTTCATGGTGTTTTTTTCATATTCTGGGTGTTTAGAAAAGTGATTATTACAATGGACGCATAGGCAAACACAATACCCATTATGTGCTTAGCTACAATTCACACACAGCTTTGAACTTCAGAATCTGTTTATTGGAAGAGCAGTTGTCTGCCATGAAAACCAGGGCTATCCCCTGCTCTGACCATCTAATAACCCCCTGGAATCTTTAAGTTCTATCGGGACAGCCACTGGATATTGGCAGAAGGGATTTCACTTTAACATCTCATCCAAAGAAGACACTCAAGAGGAAATATGGCTATTTTCAAACTGTGCTTTGTTTGACATGTATGCAAAAGAGCATGTACTACTCCTGGGGGAATTGTGCACCACTGTGCATGCACAGAATTTATGTCCCCCGCAGATTCCTTTGCTTCCCCACAGAAAAATGACTTTCTGTTGGGGAAACAAAAAGAAGCCACAAGAGCAATCATGCGACCCTCCCCAGAAGTATGTTTCAGGTGCCCGGGGCAGCTAGCAGAGAGATAAATCACTGTGGGCTAAGGGCCGGGATTGGGGAAGACCTGGCTGGTGGCTCCTACCCTGCGCCGGACTCAGCTGCTAGCCCCAGCAGAAGTTGGTTATGGATTGCAGATATGATGCATTCATACTACGACTATATCTATAATTCTACATCTATCTTTATCATAATAAGGGGTAATAAGCATGTAGATCAGCAACAGCATCTCCTTTCTCTCGTTGTGTGGGTGACGTCTATAGAATTGATATGTGTCCTCACTGATGAACACCTGAAAATACCGACTAATACTAGGAATCACATGGAGAGTCTGTCAAGCAGCAGCAGTGTAACAGAACTGACAGTAATGATCTGCCGAGTCCTAGACCCCCTAAACTCAGATACCTATCAGTCAGTCATGTGTGCATCACCCGCCACTCCTGTCACAGATCATGGCATTAAGCATTTCCAGTAATCAGCCATAGTGCACACTAGGAGCAAGTATCAGAACAGGCTTTGCTGCTCTCTATGCCAAGGGGTAATATGACAGGTGTAAGAAGAAAGGATTTCTTTGTTTTAAAATAGGTGTCACCTATATTGCATATAGTTTAATTAAACTTATGGAAAGTAATGGATTGATCAAAGAGAGTAGATCTGCTGAAAGAATTTAAGAGCCATGACCCAGCTTCCTAACCTTAGTATCACTAATCTGTCAGCAAACTGCCATGATTGTGAGCATTTCTACTTCCTCCAGTTCCTTCATTTCAAGCCCTCCCTGCACCCCAAACCACTCATCCCCGGCCCCATCCCAGAGCCCGCACCCCAACCCAGAGACCTCACCCCCTCCAGCACCCCACCCCCGACCCAGCCCTGAGCCAGTACTCCCAGACCAGAGCCCTCACACCCTCCCAAACCCCTGCCTCAACCCACAACACTCTCCTGCACTCTGAATCCCTCGGCCCCACCCCGAGCCTGGAGCCCCCTTCTGCACCCCAAACTCCTCATCCCCAGCTCCACCCCAGAGTCCTCACCCCCTCCCGCACCCCAACTCCATGCCCCAGCTTGGAGCTCCCTCCAAAACCCTGAACACCTCATTTTTGGCCCCACCCTGGATCCCACACCCCCAGTTAGAGCCCTCTCCGCACCCCAATCCCCTGCCCCAGCCCAGTGAAAGTGAGTGAGGGTGGGGGAAGAGCGAGCCACTGAGGGAGTGGGAATGTAGTGAGTGGGGGCAGGGCCTTGGGGAAGGGGGCAGAGCCTCAGGGAAGGGGCGGGGCTAGGGTGTTCGGTTTTGTGCAATTAGAAAGTTGACAACCCTACTCAGCTCCTTAAGGGATCAGGCCCTGGATGTGTGCTGTGTGTTCATATCGCTTCCCTGGGGACTTGATTCCACCGCACTGAAGTGAATGGGAATGATTCCAGTGTGAGTCCAGCAGGGTTGGGCCCTCAGTGATCGTGGGCTCTGGCTGGAAATGCTGTTTGTGTCTCCAGGGGAATCATTTATTTGAAGCACAGCTGTAAAACTTTCATTTTGTTTAAAAGACCACATTAAAATGTCTCTCCTCCCTGATCCTGCAGGGGGCACTGCAGTTCAATCTCGCTTGTGGGTCTAGTGTGAGTGTGAAACCATGTACAAGGACTCTTGGGCTGGAGTAGATGGGGAAGTTATTTGGCCTAGGAAGCATGGATGGGACATGGGTCACAGAATGGATGAAAAGGTGGGCACTGAAATGTGCAGAAGCAGGGGAGAAACACTTCAGGAGGGAGGACGGAACACTTGTATTCCTCAGCTCATAAAAGAAATAGAGTTGATAAGATTCTCTCCCCCTTCTCCCACAGAGAGACCTTCTCCCTCAGCAGTGTTTCAAATATTTGTTTTACTCTGCCTGCCACAGTCTCTTTGTGAATCTAGCCCTGAGTGACGAGGGTCCCGAATGATATATTGAATTTTTAAATGTAAGCACCCTGGACCCTCATTAAAAATCCACAGTGACATAGGATATTAACATGGTTCCTACTCAGCTGAGTTTCGTCCACGCTCTAGCAGTTCATCCAGCCCTTATAACATTCCATAAAGAATAAGTGGCCTTTTTCTGTTCTAACCAAGTAGCCCTCAATATGTCGCAAAGCTGCTGAAACCAGTCAGTGTTTTACTCAGACAAGTCCTGGACAATCTCTTCTTCAGCTGTTAGATTTGTAAAGGTCTTTTGGTTTGACATGGCCAAACTCAGGAATATCCTGAATATATAGGAATATCCGTCTGGTAGGTTGTTTGCCTGACACCAACACAGAAGGTCAGTCAGAACTGTATTGTAATAATCATTTGACTGTATCCCTCGTTGTTATCTTAGTGTTGGATTGACTTATGGACACCCTGATAAGGCTCATTCGGGGTGGAAACAGCCATGCTCTTCTTCTCCAGGAAGCAGAGCAGCCATGTAAACCTTGCTACTTATCTGATCTTTACAAAAGCAACTTTTGGCTGATTTAGTTGGGGATTGGTCCTGCTTTGAGCAGGGGTTGGACTAGATGACCTCCTGAGGTCCCTTCCAACCCTGATATTCTATGATTCTAACTTATTGTTGGGGCTCATTACAAGATAAAATTAGGCTTTGGCTTACTGATATCATACCAGATCCTCTCTAGAATTTAATGTTTTAGGAGCTGTTAAGAGTCGTTTTACTTCTTTAATAGAATTCTGGCCTTTGATATTCATCCATTTTCCATTGTAAAAGGCATTTTCTTCCTCTAATGAAAAATAAAACCAAGACTTTTTTCCTTCCACGTGATGCTGTGTCATCTCTTCTTTCTGTGCTCTTTTCCCTCTTTCAGTGCAGATAATGACGACTGACTGAGGGGTTTTGCCTATTATGGGAGGTTATTTTTAATCTAGTCTTATAGCTGAGGATGTTAAGGACCACTAGTTAGACGCATCCCACCCACTACTAAGGCAATTCTTTTTTAAATGTCACCTGCCTGAGAATTCCATTCACTGCCATGTACAAGAACATGTAGCCAAGAATATGGTCCTATGGGAACACTGTCTTCTGAGAACAAGTGCAGGTGAGTATTTTTCTCTTTTCTTCTCTGATCTCCGCTCCGATTTCCTATACTGATGGTAACTCAGCTGCTAAGGTCATTTCTGCGGTAGCTTTTAAAACCATTTCATTTCAGTATTAAATACCCCTCCTCCTTCTCTCCTCGCAAACTCTTCAATGATTTTAAAATATGTTTTGCTTCCTTATAAATCTCTCCATGGTTTTGCTCCTGGTTGCTGTTGGATTTGCTTTAATCCTGCATTCATATTGAACAGGGCTTCAGATATCTCATGTCTGTGTCTCTGGCATGGGCTACCTCTAGGACTAACAGGGAGGTCGGTGCTTCTTCGCATTTGGCTTGATATGCGTGCAATTATTCGATGTCCAATTTGTGTGCATTCTGGTGACAGGTAGCAGACACAATTGGTGCACTTGTTTTAAATGGCCACAAGAGGCTGTTAAACCCTCATTATTTTTGACAGTGAAAATATTACAGAAGGAAATGCTATTATCTTTTCAGGATGAAAAAAACAACAATGTTGTATTTCAATCACCACTTCTCTGGATTTCTGCTTATACCCTTCAGGAAGAATAAGTCAGGTGCGTAAATCCAAAGCTGAATGAATTTCAGTTTATTGCTGGTATATGAGGAGTTGGGTTCAAGTAGAGAAGGGGAAATAGGAGAAAGGTTAAGAGTTCCAACCTAAAATGCTCTGTGCATATAGTACATTCATACAGGGTATGGAGGATCCAGTCAATAAAACTACACTCAAAGTTCTTGTTTACACAATCAAGGCGTTTCACTTGGAAAGAGGCAGAGAAGAAGGGTCAGAGGGAGGAGTGTTCCCTTTCAGGGGCTTTGCTAGAGAAAACAACAAAGGAGGCCTGGTTTTGGTTTTGAAAAGCCTCCTCAGCTTTGGAGAACCAAAGACAGGGGGATTTGGAGGAATTCCAATTTATCCAAAGTTCTGGGCAGGTGGGATAAAAGTCTGCCGTTTTGTTCCATCTCCGCTCTGCAACAGCAATGAGGCGTCCTTGTGGCACCTTAGAGACTAACAAATTTATTTGGGTATAAGCTTTCGTGGGCTAGAACTCACTTCATGAGATGCATGGAGTGGAAAATACAGGAGCCGGTATAAATACATGAAAAGATGGGAGTTGCCTTACCAAGTGTGAGGTCAGTCTAACAAGACAATTCAATTAACAATAGGATACCAAGGGAGGAAAAATAGCTTTCATTAGCACTACAAAAGATGAAGTTCTAGACCATGAAAGCTTGTGCCCAAATACATTTCTTAGTCTCTAAGGTGCCACAAGGACTCCGCGTTGTTTTTGCTGATACAGGCTAACATGGCCACCACTCTGCTCTGCAACAGAGCCACATTCTGCTAGATGGAATCCCCAGGTATGGGAGTATCCTTTTGTGACCCTACGAGTCAGAGAGCAAGGGGCTCCCTGGTATGTAGCACTGAGTCTCAGCTGCCTGACAAGCTCAGTGCACCCCACTCCCCTCCCCGCCCCCACACACACTGTTGTCATGATAATTACTTAGAAGGTGTTTTGTAATATCTCATTGGAAAACTAGTAACTCACTGACCATTTGTAGTCTGGCATGACGTATGAACAGTTAACATACAAAGAGCTATGCAGATGTGCTAGAAATATGTGACTAAAATGTGTTTAAACTAAGCAGGTCAGGAAAAGTTGATAACCAGGTTTTTCTTACACAAAGGGTTGTGAATGCCCTGTCTACCTTGCGAGCCATGGACAATGGGGATACACCAGTAGTAAGCAAAGCAATCAGCTCCCAGGCAGAGGGGAAGACTGCATTTGCATTGTAAAATTGCAGCAGGAAACATCATATGAGAACTCACCAGGAGCGGGCGCTTTGATCAAGGTGGTGTCACCCCCTCCCACCCCCAGAAGAGACAGAAGACTGAATCCCCCAGGACACCTTCCTGGCTCTTGACACCAGGACAATGAACTTTGGGGGAATATATGGACCTGGAAAAAAGATGTTGGGTTATCCTTCACCTGAGGAGGCAAGGAAACAGAGAGCTTTGTGCTCTGTGTTGGATCCTGGCTGAAGACTGGCCAGCTGTGCTGGAAGAATGACTATGGTGAGAATGAAAACTACTTTGAACAAAAGATTCTAGTTTGTTAAGTTGGATTTTAGATTTAGAAGCATATTTGTACTTGTATCTATTTGTAACCATTTCTATCCCTGTTCCTTCTGCTTGGCATCATTTAAATCTGGGTTCTACCGTTAATAAACTTGTTATCCTTTTACAAGATCATCTCAGTGCTGTATATTAAACAAAAGGGTAAAATTCACAGCTAATCTAGCAGTCTGGGGTGCATTCTATCTGGTTGGAGGCAGCAAAGTCAATAGCTTTTGTGAGGGTCCAGTGAGAGGGACTGAACATAGCAGGGAGATGGTTTGGGGGAGATTTGGGACAGGAAGGGTTGTTAGTGTCTTCTGGCAAGGAGAAGCCAGGGTGAGGCTACAGTGCCGTGAACATGCTGCTGGTGTTAGGGTTCTGAGCCAAAGCTGCCCAGCACAGAAGCACCCAGGGTTATAGGGCAGGCAGTGACACTATCCCTGACGGGTCTGTGTGAACTACCCTAGCATCACACCTTTTTGAATGATCACGCTCTGGGCTGCTAGTGCTCAGAGGTATGATGGAGATGACACTTTACATTGGCTCTGAGGTGGAGTGGGGCTGAGGGAAGATTGTTGATAGCTGGTTTCTCTAACGGAGCAATCTGAGAGAGTTGCACTGGAAAAGGTCTCAGAGAAGACAGAGGAAATGCACTGCGACAGCTGTCACCGAACAGAGGGAATAAGGTCATGAAATATCATCCTAGAATAAAGCGATTGGGGAAAAAGCCAAAGCTCCCCTCTTTCTAGACCATCTAATATGGTGGTTCTTGGCTAGTGTTCATTTGAGAACCCTCCAAAATCTTAGTGTTGATGCTATGGTCCTTATCTTTCTTTTGAGCTACATATCCTCCACATGAAACCATTTGTGCTTTTAAAACAAATCAATGCCCAAATCCTCCCCAGGAATAGTTCAATAAACTCCGTACATTGCTGGTCACTGCTTCCTGGTCAATGAAAACGTTGGAACACAACATACAAAATTCACATCAAGGAATTAAGTCATACTGGTGTATTACACGTAATGACAAATAGAAATGCTAACTTCTTGTTTTATTAGGGATACACATGAGCTGTTTGCTAATATTCAGTCTATTTAAGCAGACAATATGTTTCCTACTTTGGGCAGACCCTGGACAACACATTTAAAATTGTTTGTCTGAAGACTGGATGAGTGGTAACTGCAAGTCACTTTTCCAGACAATAAAGATTCTATACTTTGATCTGGCCCCTTAGTTGCACAAACGGACTGGAAAAACCACTAGATCTCCCCAGCTTCTGTGTAGGCACCATGTTGCATTGTTGGGCAAGGGTTGTGTATTGGATCAGGAGGGGAAATGGCTGCAGCGCTACGGCTCTTTGCCACTGGCATAAAAGTTGTTTGGGGTCATAGTCAGCTAGGCTGCTCTAATCTACAGCAGGGCCAGGGCTGGCATAGAACCAGCCCCAGAATCAAGGAGCTGCAACCCGTTCTTTTGTCGCCCATTCCAGGGCTGCAGCCAGCTAATATAACATACAGCCAGACTCTGTGCTTTAGATTTTGTTATTGTTTGTGGTACACCTAAATAACGTTTTCTGTGCCTTTTGAGTCTATTGAATCTCCTTAAGGAATATGATCCTGTTTTCTATCCCTTCTTATCCCACCACATTACTATAGTGATTGTTCAAGAAGAGTTGTTTAGATTTTCTGTTTTGTTATTTTCTTCCTACCTCAGTTCCTTTTGACGCCAGCTCATTGTTGTGGGGTTTGTTGCCTTTTTTCTTTTAACTCCTTTGGAATGTCCAGCATTTTCCTTTCCTGTCTATTCTTCATAACAGAATTTCAAAAACAGCTGCACCCCATCAGGATTATCACAGGGTATGTAAATCTGAACACAAAGAGTACAAAAATGCTTGATGGCAGAGCTTCACTGTCCTCCAGGAAGTGACCTGCCAACCATCTGGGCTCCCTGGAGTTTCAGAGCTTAAAAACAGGCTTGAGTTTTCATTTGTAACACATCAGTGACCCTGTTTGTTCTGTTTCAAAAAAACAAAGCTGTTTTGAATCATCACTACAGGATGATGGAAGCCAGCAAGTCTATCTCACCTAATCTGGTAGTTTCCTTTGTAACATCAGATACTATTATATCATTGCTTTACCACCCAGATCGAGGGTTTTCATTGTTCTAGATCAGGACACAGCTAGGTCAGTGTGAGTTTCACTGCTCCTGTCTTCCCCCACAAAGGGCTCTGACACCTGTCATTTATTATATCAGCCACCACCCTCTACAGTCCCAAGCAATAATTATATTTACAGTGACATACAATCATCCCCTTTTGCTAGACAGAAGAGACCACTCCATACAGAGAGCTCCTTTTTTCTATGGCCCTGCTAGCCTCCCCCAGAGTCTCTCTCCTTCTGTCCCTCCTGTGCTTTTCTACTCTTGCAGTGAATGGGCTAATTAGCCCCTTAGCATTTCCCAGCCCAGACTGTTCTTGTAATTAGCCACTCCTTTCCCAGTCGGGCCCTTTCCAGGGGAGCTCATTGGATAAATTGATAAGGATGAGCACAAGAGAATATCACAAGCACATAGAGACAACATGAGAAAAGCTACAGTATAAAATCAGTTACATTCAGCAAGGGACATGAAAGACAATAAGAAGGTCTATAAATACGTTAGGAGAAAGAGACCGACAAAGGCAAGTGTAGGTCCACTACTGAGTAGGGATGGAGAGCTAATAACGGATGGTGCTGAGAACACTGAGGTATTCAATGACTATTTTGCATCCGTCTTCACTAAAAAAGGTTAATTGTGACTGGGGTCGTGATCCACAAAGGGATTCAAGCCCTGTGATGCTTAGCATCACAGAGCTTAACTTTTAGATGCCTAGAAAATCACAGGAATACACTACGATCCACAAAGTCTGAATTGGGCATCGAGGCTCCCAATACAATGAATAGGGAAAAAGAAAAGGAGTACTTGTAGTTACTCTGAAACCAATGAATAGGGAGACACTGAAATCTTAAATAGCGATTCACAAAAGCCAGCAGGGTAGGCGGGGAACTGCCTATGCTAGCCAGTAGGAGATGTTGCTGGGGAGGGGGTGCTAAGCCCCACCCCTCTCTTGGAGATAGGAGCCTAAATCCAGATTTCAGGGGGGCTCCTTGCTCTGTTTAGCAATCCACAAACAGGAACCTGATGCCTGGAGTCAGATGGCTTAAGTTATTCAGGAGTGTCTTGTGGGAATGAGTTAGGTGCCTGTCTTTCTCCACACAATATGGGCAAAGGTGGATGCAATGTTCATCTTATAACCTATAGCCCAGTGGTTAGCGCACTCCCCTACGATGTGGGAGACCCAGGTTCAATTCCCCCCTCTCAGGCAGAGGTGGGGAGAAAGGATTTGAATGGGGCGGGGGTCTCCTACTGCTCAGAATCAGTGCTCTAACCATTTAGCTATGCGATATTCTGATGGGGGATGATACATCAGTCTGTCCTGTTGAAGCTGTTCCACTCTGGACAAACAATGAAAGAGTGATTGGAGAAGAGAGACTGGTCCTGGGATCTCCTACCTCCCAGGCTGAAGTCCTGGACTAGAGTCATTCTCTCTGTCCCAAAGAGAGGGAGGCAGAAGGAGCCTAGAGGGAGATAGCAGTGTGCAGCCCCACAGGCTGAAACATGGGTGCCAAGGGAACTTTTCACTCTGAAAACTCAGGGACAAAGTGAGTTTAGGTGCCTACAGGGTTTGATGGGAGTTTTGTGGATTGCAATGGAGCCAAAACTGGGACCTAGATGTCTACTCTAAACTCCAGACTTTGGTACCTAAGAATCTTTGTGGATCCCACCCCAGAAACTTAACCCAATTAATATTAACAAGGGGAAAGGAACAGATGCCAGAACAGGGAAATAATAGCTTAGCGAATATTTAGATAAATTAGATGCATTCAAGTCAGCACAGCCTGAGAAAATTCATGCTAGGGTACTTAAGAAACTGGCAGAAATTATCTCAGAACCATTAGCAATTATCTTCAATAACTTGTAATGATGGATGAAGCCCCACAGGTATGGAGAAGGCAAACATAGTACCTGTCTTTAAAAAGGAGAACAAAGAGGACCCAGGGAATTATAACCAGTCAGCCTAACCTCGATACCCAGAAAGATACTGGACCAATCAATTAACAATCAATTTGTAAGCACGTAGAGGATAATAAGGTGATAATTAATAGCCGACATGGAGTTATCAAGACCAAATCATGCCAGACCAATCTAATTTCCTCCTTTGACAGGGTTACTGGCTTAGTGAATAGGAGGACGCAGTAGACATGATATATCTTGAATTTGGTAAGGCTTTTGACAGTCCCACACACATTTTTCACAAGGAAACTAGTGGAATATAGTCAAGATGAAACTAGCATATGGTGGGTACACAATTAGTTGAAAAATCATACTCAGAGTAATTATCAGAGGTTCACTGTCAAACTAGGAAGACATATCCAGTGGGGTCCTGCAGCAGTCTCTTCTGGGTCTGATATTAGTCTACGCTTTCATTAATGACTTAGATAATGGAGTGGAGAATGTGCTTATAAAATTTGCAGATGACACCAGCCAGGAGGGGTTGCAAGCACTTTGGAGGTCAGGATTAGAATTCAAAATGACTGACAAATTGGAGGGTTTGTCTGGAATCAAGATGATAGTCAATAAAGACAAGTGCAAAGTACTACCCTTAGGGAGGAAAATCAAATGCACAAATACAAAATGGACAATAACTGGCAGTATTGATGAAAAGGATCTGGGGGTTATAGTGGAAATGGAATATGAGCCAACAATGTGATGCAGCTGTGAAAAAGGCTGATATCATTTTGGGGTGTATTAACAGAAGTGTTGTATGTAAGATACGGGAGATAATTGTCCCACTCTACTCGGCACTGGTGAGGCCTCAGCTAGAGTACTGAGTCCAGTTTTGGGTGCCACACTTCAAGAAAGATGTGGACAAATTGGACAGATTTCAGAGGAGAGTAACAAACATGATAAAAGCTTGAGAAAACCTGATTTATAAGGAAAAGTTTTTTTAAAAATGAGGCATGTTTAGTATTAAGAAAAGACTACTGCACTTCTCTTCCCACAGGTTGCCCTTTGCTCTCCTT